CCACACATCCCTAGGAAACGGAGCTGTGCCTTAAGAGAAGATGATGTTTATTTTCTTTACAAGGTGTTGACTCTTCAAGGAAACAATTAAAGTGTGCATGACGACAGCAGCAAGGAAAATCAGAATTTTCCATTATCTTTATAATGAATTTAATTTCCTGGACTTGGTTTGGGTTTTTTATTTAATTTACTGACAGGCACAATATTCAGTGATGCAATCTTCATGCTTCTAAAAAGCAAAGGAGTTATGCCAGTTATGCCATACTCTTTACCAGAGGCTGTTTATTAAGCATTTCCCTTTCATGGAATTTATTTGCTGCATGAAAGCAAATGAAAATGTAAACCTTGAGGGAAGGAAACAAAATAGGTGAGAAAAATGTTACAGCTTCAACTGCCATTAGCAATATCCTGGAATCTGAGCACTAGAGTTGTGGTGTTGGGTCCTCAGGATGAGGTGAGAGATGAGAATCTGACTCTAAGTTTTTAGAAGGCTGATTTATTATTATATTATTTTATATTAAAAATGCTATACTAAAACTATACTAAAGAAAGAGAAAGAATACATCAGAAGGCAAAAACAAAAATGATAATAAAAAACCCATAACAGACTCAAAGTTCGACACAGCTAGCTGTGAATAGTCATTAAATTAAAACAGTTCACATGCTAGGTAAACAATTCTCCAAATCACATTCCAAAGCAGCAAAAAAAGAAGAAGCTGAAGCTTCCCAGCTGAAGAAATCCTAGCAAAAGGATTTTTCATAAAATATCACAATAACACACTAGACTCAGAGCAACGAGAAGGTCTTTAGGCAACTATTTTTAATTTTTAAAAATTATTATTTGTCTTTCTGAGGCCCTCTACAAAGGCACAAAAGAGATCCTGCTTTGAAAGAAGTCTACTCCACATGGCCCTGGAGTTTGTCTGTATAAACCCTGTCTTCTCCTTCCAGGTGGGTATTGCATGAGAGAGATGAGGCCAAGAAGGAAATGGTGCCTTGCTGGGAAGGCAGCTGTGGAATGATGAAAAGAGCACAGGGAGGAACAACTCAGAGATCCTTTCACAAATGAAATTTTTCACAGAGGGCCACAGAGCTCTCAGTGGGTCCTGATGGGGCAAGGGGGCTGCTGCACAACCAGTCTGTCCCTGCAGAACTTACTTAGAATATTTACCAGCAACTTTCTCCTGCAGAATTATCCTGCAGACTCTACAGTATTAATATTGGTATTTTCCCTTGTGCTTTTCATATCAGAAAATGAAATTCATAAAGCACTTCCATTTCGTAATTGCTTGGTATCCTGATTTAGCAATCTGCAGACATCAAGAAATGGTACTATCATCTCTAAATATACAAATGGGGTTTGAGTATTTTAATAAAGGCCCACTTTGAGCTAAAACCAGGCAGTTTAGACCCATGCTGGTCTCTTCTCCTGTGCTATGCACTCAACAAGATGCTACAGCTATTACAGAAGAAAAGAATAGCAGTGACAAACATCTGTGGCTACTGTTACTGAGGAGTCCTGCAGTGCACTGATCCTCTAAATTATATGCAGGAGTTGTCTCTACTCTTAGGTAACAGTGTCTGGATTTATAGGTGGTGCTCTGAGGTCACAGGAAACTTTCTCCTTGCTTGCTCCAGATGCTAAAGCTGACTGCGAGAGGAGGAGAGAGGCAGGAGGCTGCTCACTGCAGCCATGACCCAAACCACAGCTGGGGAGACTGTCATCTTTTCTTCAGTCAAACTCAACAATTCTCACATTCTGCTGGCCTCAAAAAAGTCCTTTAAAAAGTCTAACCATGGCATAGGAATTAAAGCTCTTTGGGATACAAACCACATTTTCTCATTTCCTTAGGTTTTGCAAGTGCTGGCTTGACTTGGCTTTTATCTACGCAGTGGTTTTGGTGGTTAGAGCAGCACAAACAGAAAATGACAACAGTCACTGCACAAACAGTGAGCACACAACTAGAGGAATGGTAAAGTGAGACCCATTAGCACAGATGGGAAAAGCTACAACTCAAATTGAAGGAGTTCAATGGTTCTGAGCTGCTGGATTCACTGAACAAGATGAAAATCCCCAAAGCTGAATGGAGCAGGAAGGAGATGCAGCAAGACATCAAAATGGAACAGAAACAGGAACAGGATGGAAAGAATTGCACCACTAACCTGGAGCAATGCCAGCAGAGGAACTGAGGGAAGGTGGATCTCCCTACTGAAACCATCATACACAGGCTCCATCATTCTGCCAACTTTGCTTCTAAGCAAAGAAGCTTTTTCTTCCCAATGTTCCTGGGAGAAGCTAAAGCACAGATTTCTGGGGACATGACTGCAAAGATTGAGGATAACCCAACATTTGTTTTAAAGCTTGCACGGATCACCATGGCCTGGCTGCAGTTTGCAGTAGCAGCTTCACTGGTTTCCCAAGCGTTCAGATTTTATCCAGTCATAGAAAAATCCTCACCCTAAAAAGCCCCATACCCTTCTTGAAGCAGGAGATCAGGGTCTAGAGGGCGCTGCTCTGAGCCAGACTGACATGTTATGGAGCACATACAACCAAGGACAACGGAGCTGCTGCTGCTGCTGCTGCAGTCACACCCAGCACAAACAGGATCTGCCCAGAGTCTTACCAGGACTTCCTGATGCAAATTACTCAGGTTTCTATATATGACATAATCTGTGCTTCTCTGTCCCTCCCCATTGTGCTGAAGTTTTGCTTATTTAAATACATTTATTGTGTGCATAAGGCAAAATCCATTCAGCACCTCTCATTCTGAAGAGTTTAGGAGGCAAAAGGAGCCAAGAAATAGAGGAGTGGTCTGCTGAAATCTAGTGAACAGGAGGAATGATAAAGGGAAAGGACAAGCTGATGGACACTAACACACTTGTTTTCATCAGTTTTCTAAACTAGATGTACTTTTTACAGATAAAATTACAAATATATCATATAGTAGAAAAGAACTTGATAAGGTGTGAACTTACCATAAATCAGGCACATGTCTGACTGCAGTCTCCTCCTAATCACAGCCAACAGCTTCCAGCATCAGGGCCAAAAGCCAAGAACCCAGAAACCTGAGGGGAAGCTTTACCTGTTCCCAGGTGTGAGCTGGCAGAAGTTGTTCCTGGGTCCCTGATGAGCCAGGAGAAGCTGTGAGCTCTCAGAGTTACCTGCCCTCTTGCTGAGAGCCAAAATCAGAAAAGCTGCTGGCCAGGCTGGGACAGTCAGCTGGAGCAGTGGGTGTCATGAAACAAAAAACCTCACAAAACCAGCTTAAATCAGGCAAGCCTGAGCAATTCCAGGCTGGAGTCAGGGAGGAAAGCAGACGCTCTGACAGTGGCTTCAGCAGATGAAGGTGGCCTGGAAGTGCTGTGTGTAGCAAGGGATCAGCAATGCCTGCCACTCTCTCTGCCATGGCACAATCTACTGCTGCCCTCCAGGGTAAATCCTCTTGCCAAGCTCATTTGAGCATGCAAGCACAGCAGATGAGTTCATGCCAGGGACAGAGGGGCTCATTTTCCTTGGATTTCCAGGCACAAGCTGAGCTCACACCAGCACCAAGCCCACCTGTGCAAGTGCTCCCAGAGCACCCTCACCACTGGGGTTTTGCTGTTTTCCAGCTGGAGAGCTGGAATGAGGGATTTTACAGGGATCCCCACACATCCAATGTGACTCTGATGCAGACAGCCACAGGCAAGCAGCAGAATACAAAACACAAGGGAGGAGTGGGCAGAAGAGATGTAATTTTACTTTTTTTTTCCTTGAGCCTTAAGCCTAACGTTAGAAATGCAGACCTTTCTCAGAAGGTGGTGACTGTGTGTCAGAAAACTGACTGCACATTTTTAGAACAGCCTCAGTGCCTGCCCACAGGAGGCTGCCCCAGCTTCCATCACTGTTATCACTTCTCATCCTTTCCACTCATTTCTGCTCTGCTGCTGAGGGAGAGGGTGAATAAATTAGTTCCATTTTCAAAGCCAGGCTGTGTCATTTGTCTTGAGTGTTAGTTCCTAATAGTATTTTCCTTTTTGTGATACCACTATCAATTTCCGTCCAAATTCTGAAATCAGAGAGATACAGAGAGCTGCTTTTTACTGAAGTGAGTGAAGCAACAGAGATGTACAATCCCAATCAAGCCCATTAAATACAGAAAATCAAACTCAGTCTTTCCTCTGTCCCTTCTGAATACAAGGTACCAGATGGAGGATTTGGAGTGTCTAAAGAAAAGTTCTGGTTCAAATGCAGCCCTGAAAGGGGTTATGGCATACAAAAAGTCAACTGTGCTCTGACACTCACAGATGTGGATTTCAACTCTCTGTTTGCAGATCACCGGGGTTTACCTGTTTTCAAAAGATTCATTAAAACTTAAAAAAATAGCTGAGGAAAGAAAGCAGTGTTTGGAGAGAAGGTTTGGAAGAGTATGTACAAATCAAATTAAAGGTATGGACAAATCAAATCAGGGGTATGTACAAACCAAAACAGTTCAACAATTACTTATTAATTCCATTACCTCTTTTTTTTACCACAATTTCTGTAAAGGTAGCAGCTATAAGCAACACCTATATAAATATAAATAACGTATTTCTAAATATTTGCATTATTTATGTCTGTTTATTGTGCTACTGTTTTTTGCTTTGGGAAGCAAACCCATGGGGCAGCAGTGTGGCACTCATCCAGAGCGAGATCCAGTCAGGATGATTACAGCACATAGCCACAAGCACTGCAGCAGCTGGATAGCATAAAGCCATGCAGAGTTAAATTAATCCCTAGCCTGGGAAAAAATGTTGAGTGCAAGCAGGAGATATAATGTGGAGTGACTGCCAAAGCCTATTCCCCAAGATGCCATTCTCTCCGATTCCAGTGATTCCACAGGACTTTCCTCCACATTCACACTGCCAGGTCAGGGATCAACACTGACCCTTCAGACCTCACCCAGTTCAGAGTTTAGGCATAACGTGGGTAACAAATTTACTGCCAAGGGCCAACACAGAAGAAGAGATATCCTTTCTCACCTTGTTCTGTCAAACAAGTCTCCAGAGGAGATTTCCTGCTGCAGTGTTTGCAGATCAGAGGCCATCAGGAGCAGCTTTTGTGTGGCTGTGTCATATGCTGGAAGCTGCATGTAGAAGAATAACCAGAAAAGAAAGAATAAATTCAAAACTGAATATAAAGCATAAAATCAGTCCACCAAAGTGGTGTTGCTTTGGTCTGGCTCTGTGCATGTTGTAGGGGTGGTTTTTAATAAATGTTTCTCAAGAGTTACATGTAAACCTTCCACCACAGATGGAAATCAGATTTTTTTAAACAACTAAATCTATTCTTTTACCCTCTGTAATTAAGCTGCTGTGTCAGATTTCTGAGTGGACTAAAGCCCATCCTTTAAAGAAAAGTTGAAATATAAAGACTTTCACTAACAGCATTAGTTTCTCTGAAGCTACACGGCCCATAAAACTAAAACCGGTTTCAGTTCAAATCTCTATCACATGTATATGTTTACACATTAAAAAATAGGTTTTCCACACAATTCTATTTGTATTTCTTTGCAGATACGAAAGTTCATTAAAAAGTAGGTGGAGTCTGACTCTGCTTTCCAGAGCAGTATTAAATGTGTGCCTCAAGATGAATCCTCTTTAGCAGCTTGCCTGGAGGTGCCCTGTGTCAGCAGGGGCTTCTCTGCATTTTCATTGCCTCTAAAGAGACTCACCTTTCATTACCAAGGAGGTGTTTGCTGCTTATAACAGTATTGGAAACAAATGTACAAATAAAAAATGCTGGGGAATTTAAGAAAAATTTGCACTGAGTTCTAAAGAAGCCAAACTTAGCAAAATGACTGTTTGCATAACACAACTTGTGTCTCTGTGTTTGAACCAGCTGCCTTCTGGGACAGGGTGAAGAAGGCACAGCCAGAGCCACCTCTCAGTGTGCAGGTAAAGGACAGGGATTCAGAGACATGAGGGAGAAAAGAAAATCTTTTTTTCACCTCAGAGTCATCATACATTGGAGCAGGGCTCCAGAGAAGCAGAGGAATCTCCATCCTTGGACATTCCGAGTTCACCTGGACAAGGTCTTGAGCAAGCTGATGTATGAGGATGCTCTAAGCAAGGAGTTGGACAAGGAGCCCCCAGAAGTCTCTTCCCTCCTCAATTATTCTTCAGTTCTACAATTTTAATAGGGTTGGGGGAAAAATTAGTAAGAGAGAACATGTTGAGCCCTTGACTCCCCATTCCCAAGATGCACCTGAAGCTAGGCAATGGAAATGGACTGCTTCCTTCCAGAACAGGTTTGAGTCAAGTTGGAATGTCTTTTTCTCTGGCCCTAGAATCACTAGCCAGACACATGTAGGGTGATAAGAAGGGGTTTTTACCTTTATATAAGGATCCTTAGGTGAGCAATTCATCAGGCAGAAAAAGCCAAAGATGTGCCAAACACATGTGTGTGATTTTCATCAATTTCTCAAATTAGCACATCTGGCCAGAGTCCCCAATTAGAAGCATGTCCAGTGAAGTAATCTCCCCAGCTCTAACATCTTCTAAATCCTCCTCCCTCAGAAGAGGACTAAGATCTGTTTGTAAAAAATATGTCTCAAACGGCTGGTTTCAACCTTGGTTTTTAAAGAGAACCAAAACTAGGAGAGAACCAAGACAGGAACCAGCCAAGTGTAGGGGTCCTAGTACTTGTTTTGTCTTTCTGCCTTGGAAAATACTGAGACTAAGTTACAAGTTAAAAAACTACAAACCTACAAAGAATGTGTAAAGAATACAGAGAATACCTAAAAGAAAAAGAAGAAAATCAAAATGGCATCATTTGAAAAACTACTTTCCACTCAAAATACTGTGAGGATGGAAGGGGAAGAAAGGGGACAGAAAAAAGTCTGTATGTTGCTAGGATTGAAGTAATACTGCTTAAATTCAGAGGACAGAAAAGGAAAGAAAATACCTTGGGGGGAAAATCTGGTAGAAATCTGAGAGCAGATTGATATTTTCAAGAAAGCTGTTAGAGGACAGCTGTTAACAAAAGAGAAAAGCTTTCTGGATAGTTTTTATACAAGAAAGAAATGATTCCTCCTCTTGGAGTACAACAGCCAGGGATTAGAGATGGACAAAATCATCTGTGAAACACCAGCATCTTAAACTGGATTCTCAGTGTGAATTGGTACATTGCTCTTTTAGTGTAGCCTGCCTAAGGACCAGCCTAGAAACATCATCAGGTGCCTTTGAGTGCAGAAAAGGGTTTCTCAAGACTTTAAACACCCCATTGTTGGAAAATGGGCTCCAAAACCCTGTCAATCTTCTGGAAGTACTTTAAAGGTGCTATTTTCTTGCTAGTCCTAAACACCATAAATTAAAATATACTCAAAAATCTGCTTTTATAGACACAAGCCCAAATATATGATGTAAAGAACACAATACAAAGGAAATAGCTATAACACATCTCTTTGATAAAACATATTCCTTGAGGATAACACTGTCTTCCCAAAGATGAAGTGCAACAACTACTGAGCTCGAGGACAACTGGGAAAAAGGTAAATGAAAAGAGCAGGAAGCTTCAGCTTCATTTTAAAATAATTCCAAAACCACTGCAGTTTCTGGCATGGAGGAATGAGGACTTACTGCTTCTCAAAACAACAAAATGGAAACCTGCTCCAGTCAACATCAGAGATGTTTTTAAACAAAGTAATGGTGTCCAACCTAGTTTTCATGGGTTCTTCTTCCAGCAATTTCTTCTTTTTCCTCTCCTCCTGTCATTTGTCAGCATTCAAGTGTGAATACAAGCCACTTGGCTGGCCTGATGAAAAGATAACTCTGAATAGTACAGCTACTTTTTACAAACAAAATTCCTTTCCTATGTTTTCATTAAAAGAAAAAAAAAATCACTGTCTGACTGCAAAAGAATACACAAGCCTGGTGTTAAAACAGAGGCAGTGGCAGAATAAGATAAACTCCCTCCTCCCTGGAGTAAGTCTGGCACATGGCTGGATAGCTCCTTTGGAGAAGGCAGTGTGTGCTCACTGTGTCAGAAGCACTGCTCACACACTGCAGGTAAACAACCTGACAAGCTGAGTCTGTTTGCCACTTACACCCAGCAATAGACCTCAGCTCTCACGCATTTCAGGCACATCAAATGGCTCAACACAAAAAAAAGAAAGCAACTTTCAGCCGAGCTGAAAGAATATAGCTCAATCCATCTCCTCTCCCTCTGTATAATCTCACTGAGAACAAACAAACAAAAAATAGCCAGGGAATCGATTTTCTCCTGCTGTTGCTTCTCCAGTGCTATTGTCCTTTTAGTAACACCTCTGGAGACCTGAGCAGCACATTCCTTTTGCAGCAAGACCTCTTCAGAAATCAATAGCACCTATTCAAGGGATTTATAGCATGATTCTGCAAAATCCTTTCATGGTGGCTTGCATAGCTTGTTAGGGAAACTGTGCGCAGCGTTATCTGTACAAGAGCTCTTCTGAGATTGATAAAAATAAAGCAGTGGAGGGATAGTAGAACAAGTACCACACAAATATGAAATGAATCAATGCAAGATTTTAAGATAACTTTGAGAATAACAGAGGGGGGGAAAATTCTTGTTTCTTTGGTATTGACACTTAAAGGCAGGATACCCCTGCCACTTTATACAATTGGGAACATTCTTTATTATTTTGAGTTCTGTGTCACTGTATCAGAGGAAGGATGAGAGAACACTAAGATTTCTGATCACCAGCTGTCATCAGCAAATTCTCAGTGTGATGCAACTGGTAATAAAACATTTAACAATTTGCTTTATCAAAGAACTAAACATGACCCAAGCATAGCAAAACCACAGGCGAGTCCCAGTTAGAGCAGGGCTGTTAATCAGCTCTAGTTCTTGGGCCACGTGCAGCACTAGAAAATCCCATCCCAGAGCAGAGCTGTTCCTGCTGTGCCTTTGGCAGCCCCCACAGCTGCTGTTTAATATTAAGTGTGCAACTGGAGCATTCCACTGCTCTGTGCTGCCTCAGGTTACCTGTCAGATCATCCAGGTGACACTGAGAGTACAGGAATAAAATGTTTCTAAAATCATGGGATATTCAGGGGAGTTGGAAAGAAAGGTTGGGCCTGGTAGGGCCTGGGAAAATGTTGGGCTTTACTGGATCATGTGAAACTGCACCTGTATAATCATTTAATGACTATGACAAATGATATGATTGTTATATGATAAATGATATGATTGTTAAATGTGATGATTATTTGGCAATTGGATATAATTATTGTTTAATTGTAACAGGAATCATGAGAAACAATGTTTGGGGAGTTTGATGGAGATTACAAGAATCCATGCTTGGATGAGATCAATGTATACAATAGAACAGTATAAGCTTAATAATTAATATGTAGTTATATAACAATAAGGGTATAAAAACGTGTTCATCCTGAATCCATGTTGGAGTCAGATTTGGGTCTGTACCCCTGGCACCCAGAGCTCTTCAATAAAAGCCCCTGCATATAATTATTCCATGATTATGTGTTCCTGACCACTAACAACACCACAGAACACAGGCACACAGGCAGGAGCCATTCCCTCACTGCATTCACAAAGGGCTGAGCTGGGCCACACCAACCCAGCAGGAATTGCTTCAGGGAAAAAGTGGCTTTGATCAAAATTTTCCCCTTTTTCCTCAAAACTTTCCCCCAGCAATCAAACACAGCCAGAGAGTTCACAGAGAACTATTCAGGAAAGTGAAGTTCCTAAGAACCTGACAGCCAAACCTTTGTCAACCCCAAATTTAGGATTACCTCACACTGATAACAGTGTCTTCTCTCTCAGGAAGATTTATTTTCCCAAATGCAGAGTTTGCTTACAAACCAGAGAGTGCAGCAGAGTGTGAGAGCATCCCAACTTTGCCATAGGATTGTGATGAAGCTGCCCAAATATTTCTTTATATCATCTTCTGAAAGAAGACTGGAGAGTCATTAAGCACAGGAAAAGCCAAACTTCCCACAAATAATCCATAAAAATCAACTCAATTTCTTCCTACATTGTTCCATTATGGTGACTTCAGGAATACCAGAGAGAGGGAGAGCAGAGCAAGGTGCTGTTGTTATAAATTACATTATTATGATATTATACAAATTATATTATTATAAATGATATAATTATGATATTACTGCTTTCCACTAGAACATTTTACATTTATAAACCAATTAATATTATTCCCACTGATGCATGTGCATCACTAAATGCAACAGGTTTAAATCACAATGCTTAAAAATAACTTGTAAAGGAAACAAGAAAAATGTGGTGGTTTTGGGGTGTTGGGGTTCTTTTTACCATTTCTTTCCCAGAAAAGACAGAGAGACAAACCTATCCAACTCTCAGAAAGCTATTTAAACTCCTAGAGTGTGGGAATGGCAGCACTGTGAGAAGGGAGTTAGCAACAAGGATAAAGGGAATACTGTGTTCCCTGTCTTCAAGCATCCTGTCCCTCTCCTGCAGGTGGCTAAACTGCTCAGGGAAAAGCTTTGGGAGAAAAGATGTCAAAATAACCTCATGCCTCAAAGACTTTTTAAAATGAAAGAAGTCATTCCAAGACATACAGCAATGTAAAATATAATATTAAATGAGTTTAAGGACTAACATAACTTGAGAAAATGGAAACCTAAACTCTCACTAAAAAAAAAAAAATTTAAAAAATTAAAGCCAATATAATATGAGAGAATGAGAGAGGCAAGTCATCTTCTCATTTTCTCTGTAAACCAAAACAAGTTTTACAGCAGTGTGAAGGTCTTGATTAAAGCACAGGGAACAAAGTGAAGTGTTGTAGTGAAAGTTAAGTTTCTTTGTGCTGTTGTATTAATAACATTTTAAACTGTGCCTCACTGTGCACAGGCAATGCTGCTTTGACAGAATCAAGCATGGAAATTTATTAGGGGCTTAGTACAATGCCAGTCAAAACCCAAGTGACAACATCTCAGTGACAGTCAGGAGATTCAACTCATTGCTGAGTGCTGGTGAGCAATAAAACTACAGCTTGAGATGGCAGGAAAAAATATCCCAAACACCATAGAAACTGGCACAGCCTGGAAAAAATCATTGAGCAAAACACTACTGAAGAGATCTGAAGGGTTAGTGGATGCTGAAGGTCTTGAGAACACTTGGATCAGCAAAATGCTTTACTGGTGACCAAAG